CCTTTGTTTATTTGTGTATTCTTGTTATGATGTTTATTGATTTGTTTGCTTATTGTAAATAGATACTTCTCTTACACAATTCATCCCAACCACAGTTTCTTCTCCCTCCAGTCCTCCCCCCTCCTTCCTCCTTTTCTCTCCCCCAGATCCACTCCCCATCCATTTCCTTTTCAGAAAAGAACAGGTCTCCAAGAAACAACAGCCAAACAGGACAAAACAAGATGCAATATTAAGACAAGACAAAAGCCCTCGCACAAGGCTGGATAAGCCAGCCAACAGGAGGAAAAGAGTCTCAAGAGCAGGCAGAAGAGTCAGAGACACACTCCTTTCCATTGTTGGAAGTTTCACAGAAGCACCAGACTAACAGATATAACATACATGCAGGATTTGGTGCAGACCCATGCAGGCTCATGCTTGCCATTTGTTTCAGTCTCTGTGAACACATGTGAGTCCTGTTTAGCTGATTTGATGGACCATGTTCTCCTGGTGTCCTTCACCCCCTCTGACTCCTAAAATCCCTCCACCCCTGAGCTCTAAGGAGAGGAACTCGATGGAGACCTCCAATTTAGACACTCTCTGAATAATGTCTGACTGTGGGTCTATGCACCTGCTCCATCTGATTTTGGAGGAAACCTCTCTGATGACTTCTGGACAAGGCACAGATCTGTGAGTATAGCAGAGTGTCATTGGGAATCATTTCATTAATTTTTTTCTTAGTTGTGTTTGCTCCTAGTCTTTGGGCTATCCAGTCTGTGGTTCCTGGCCATCCTGGCAGTGTAGGCCATGTGCTCCCTCTTGTGGCATGGTCTTCAAGTTAAACCAAACATCTGTTGGCCACTCTCTTTTCATAGCCTCCAGATTACCATCAGGTACCAAAGAGACTAGAACATAGGGGACAAAGGCTCCATGCAGGCACCAGCTTGATCTCTCTACCTTCAAAGAACTGTGTGGAAGTTGTCAAGTTGTCTTTGGCAATGGGGCTCCACTATCAGAGAGAAGCCTTCCATCCTAGCATCAGCCTGAGTTGTTTAGGAATTTCCACAGAATCTCCTTAGCCAGGATCAACGTAACTCAGTCACTCCACTGGAAGTCTTGCCTGCAAACAGAAGGATAGCCAGTTCAGACTCCATATCCTCCATTCCTAGGAGACCTTTCTAGGGTCACACTCACTGATTCCATGAAGTTTCTACTGCACTAGTTTTCCACACTGCCAGACCCCCCATTCTAGCTATCTCTTCCTATGTTTTCTCCCTTCGTCCCCTCCCTCCCAACCCTGATCCCTCCCTCTTCTATTCCCATCTGCCCCCAGTCCACCTGCATAATCTATTCTATTTCCCTTCCCAGGAAGATCCAGGCTTCCCCTTATATCCCTCATCTTTATCTAACTTTGCTGGATATGTGAATTGTAGCTTGATTATCATTTGCTTAATAGTTAATATCCACTAGTAAGTGAATACATACCATATTTGTCTTTCTGGGTTTGGTTTACCTCACTCAGGATGACTTTTTCTTAGTTGGATCCATTTATCTGAAAAGTTCATGTTTAAAAAAACTCCTGAGTAATATGCTATTGTGTAAATGTATCACATTTGCTTTATCCATTCTTCAGTTGAGAGGCAGTTAGATTGTTTCCAGTTCCTAGTGATTATGAATAAAGCCACAATGAATATGGTTGAGCACATGTCCTTGTGGTATGATTAAGCATTCTTTTGGTATATGCCCAAGAGTGGTATACCTGTGTCTTGAAGTAGATCAATTCTCAGTTTTCTGAGGAACCATCATATTGATTTCCAAAGTGAGTGTACAAGTTTGCACTCCTACCAGCGATGGAGGAGTGTTCCCCTTGCTCTACATCCTTGCCAGCATGAGGTGTCACTTGTGTTATTGATCTTAGCCATTCTGAGAGGTGTAAAATGGAATCTCAAAGCTTGTTGATTTGCATTTCCCTAATGGCTAAGGATGTTGAGTATTTCTTAAATGTTTCCAGCCATTTGAGATTCTTCTATTGAGAATTCTGTTTAGATCTGTAATCCATTTTTAAATTGGATTATTTCTTTTTTAATATCTACTTTCTTGAGTTCTTTATTTATTTTGGATATTAGGCCTCCTTCTATAGGATGTGGAGTTGGTAAAAATCTTTTCTCATTCTGTTGGCTGCATCTTTGACTAGTTGGCAGTGTCCTTTGCCTTACAGCAACTCTTCAGTTTCTTGAGGTCCCATTTACTAATTGTTGATTTTAGTGCCTGTGCTATTGGTATTCTGTTCAGAAAGTTGCCTCCTGTGCCAATGCATTCAAGGTTGTTTCTCACTTTCTTTTCTGTCAGATTCAGTGTGCTTGGTTTTATGTTGAGGACTTTAATCCACTTGGATTTGAGTTTTGTGTGGGGTGATAAATATGGATCTATTTTCTTTCTTCTACATGCAGACATCCATTTTGACCAGCACCATTCATTGAAAATCTTTCTTTTTTTTCCATTGTGTATTTCTGGCAACTTTATCAGAAATCAGGTGTCCATAGGTATGTGGATTTATGTCTGGGTCTTCAATTCAATTCCATTGATCAATGTGTTTGTTTCATGCCAATACCATGTGATTTTTATTAGTATATCTCTGTAGTAGAGCTTGAACCCAGGGATCTTGATACTTCCAGCAGTTCTTTCATCAAAATTCCACACAGTTCTTGAAAGGACAATTCTCAACTTCATATGGAAAAATAAAAAAACCTAGGATAGCTAGAACAGTGCCAAACAATAAAATGTCTTTTATTTAATTTTGATGTTTCTCTATTTTTTGTCCAGTTTACCTATAAATTAGAGAAAGTGGATATTTAGAGCACAGTTTGGTGATAATATTTTTATGCTGTTTGTATTTTGGAAATTCAGTTTTTCTTTCTCCTTGAACTGTAGCAGGTAGTTTCTCATAGTACAATAATCTAGATTGGCACTTCTGGTCTTTCAGTGTTTTTATTGAGACATCAGCTTTTATTCTGATGTGTTTTCCTTTATATGTGACTTGTATTTTTCTCTGACAGCATTCAGTATTTGTTCTTTGTTATATATACTTAGTGTTTTAACTGTGATACCCCATGTGGAGTTTCTTGTCTTCTCCATCTGGTGTTCTGTGAGCTTCTTATATCTGTATGGCTGTGTCTTTCTTTAGTTTGAGGAAGTTTTCTTCTGGTCTGAGTTTCTTCTCTCTCATCTATGTTTATAATTTGAAGATTTAGTCTTCTCTCTGTGGTCTGCAGTTCCTGCATGTTCCTTTCCTTTGCTTAAAATTTTTTCATATTCTTTGTTGGTGTTTTCTAATTCCTCTATTTTAGTTTTGAGTCCTGATTATTTTAACTTTTACTTGATCCATTCTACTTGTTAAGCTTTCTCTTGAGTTTCCTAGCTGGGCTATTGAGTTTTAAATCCCTTCTTCATTTCTGCTTGAGCTCTCTTCAATATTTTTGTCTTTTATTGAATTTAATTTTCATATCCTGGGTTTTATTTGTCATTTCATCCAGCCATTTGTCTTTTCTTAGCCACCACACACTTATTTTCTTTAATTTCATTTTGGTAAATTCATTTAACTATTTCTTTGTCTTTCTTAAATGTCTCAAATTCTTTGACATTCATGATTTTTCTTTTAAACTGTGTTTTGGGGATTCTCTTTGGGGAACATTTCTATAGGAATGGTTGATTTTTTTGGGGGGACACACTATGTTGATCTTTCATATTGTTTGTGCTTTTGCAATGAGACCTGGGCATGTGGATTTCTTTTGTTAGTTCTGGGTCTGATGTGAACACAGAGTTTGTAGGACAGGTGGGCCTCATGTTTGGATGTGGCATGGGTATGATAAAGTTAGGTGGACACAAAAGACTGCTGTGCTGTACAGGATGTATGTGGGTTGTTGTCCAGTTGTGGCACTTTGGGGTGACTTCCTGGCTTGACCAGGCTAGGCCTGAACACAGGATGTGGCACCCATCCTAGATCTGGGGATTGGAGGGTACATGGTAGGGATAGTCTGGTGCAGTTAAATGACTGGGTCCTGTTGCAAGATGTGCAGGGTTGTACTGGGCCTGGAAGCTGGATGTGGCAGAGGGGATGAAATTAAGTGGTAGGAGGCCGTCTTTGCTGGTGGCGGGAAATATTTCCTGACTAAAGTCTAGAGGTTGGGGGTAGCAAGTGTCCTGGACAAATCTCAGATATTGAGAGTGGTACTGCTAAAACTAGGCAGGGGCAGCAAGATGCTGAACCTCAGCTAGAAGCAGGCCTTGGGGAGGGTGTGTGAATGGTAGGATTAGGTAGACTTTCTAGGCTGGGACCATACCAGCCAGAGAGGCTGAATGTGGGAGAGAGGGGAGTTCTAACACTGTTAGCTAAGGATTGTATTGGTCATTGTTCTCACTCCTGTGACAGCATACATGACAAAAAGCAACTACGGGAGGAGGGGGATTCTGCCCGCTGTGGTGAGAAGGTGTGGCGGCAGGAGTGTGCTGTGGCTGGTCACAGTGTGCTGTGCATCCACAGTCAATCCAGTTCATCCAGTCTGGGACCTTTGCACAGGGATAACTGATACCCACATTTAGCACGGTCTTGTACGTTCCCTAAGCTTCCATGGAAACACCCTCCTAGATACAGCCAGAGGAGTGTTTCCTAGGTGACCCTAACCAGTCAAGTGACATTGAAGATTAATCATCACCAGGGTAAATGAGGAGAGGAACGATTTTAATCCAAGGGTGTGTGATTTCTTTATCAAAGGATGCATGGTACCTTTAGGCAGGGGATTAGTTTTAGTGATCTATTATATAATATTATTATGTACTTCAAAGTTGCCAAAAGTAGTTCAAGTGTTCTTACCACAAAGAAATGATAAATGTGATAGGTAATGAATGTGTTAATTAGCCCAGGTTTACCATGCTACAAGCCACATGTGTGTAAAGTGAAGAAAGGGTGCTATGTGCAATGCTATACTCTTTTGCTAAAAGACATTTTTTTTTCTCTCTTATTTCAGACAACCTAATGAGGCCTCTTTTGAATTATGGTATTGCTTGGTGAGTATATTTTTAAAATTTTGTGTTTTCTGAAGACTACTATTAACTTGTACAAATGAGTTGCGTTTTTGGATTACTGTTGCAGTATGTCTATGGGATTTTTGGTTGAAGAGACTGCGCCAGTTGTTTGGAGAGGCCTCATGGTAATGTCGGCCATTGAGAAACTATTGAGACAGGTAAGGAAGTTGAATTAACTATTATTTACTTTGGTATGGTTGTGGTTAATGCATTTGCCCTTGGAAGAATTGTTAGAATTTGCAGCCAGCATTGAGATACCTGACTGACAAAGAAATCTACTTGATAGGTGGAATGTGTAATGATTAATGGGTACTGAGACCAAATTTCACCAACTTAATCTTCCCACTTCGTATGAACGTAACAATCTGTTGTTTTAATTTCTATTGTTTTCTGAGTCTGTTGTAGGAAAAGCAAATCTATATAGCAAGTCTGTATCTCAGTGGGCAGTAATGAACTATAGGAACTGTTTAGAAATTCTTCAGATCTAAATAAGTATATATAGAGCCATGATGGTTCTTGTGATTTAATTTCCTTCACGACAGCTGTTGTTATTATTGTTTTTACTGTATATAGTTCTGTTGTTGACTTGTTTTTTTAGTGCAGGTTCTGTCAACTTAGTCCCTAACAAAAGATATCACATATGATTGCATAACCTTAGTGTACCAGGTGGCAGGAGAATAAGCTGTACTCTTTCTCTGTAGATGAGAAGTTGTAATTGTGTTTTAGGGAACTATTAGATCTGTCATAGCAGTTTACAGAGTCTACATTGTGTTTGGCATCACGCTATGGGTTGTCCACTATGGGATGACCAAACGATGAATATTTCTGCTTTGATTGTCAGGTGGTTGTGTAACTGATGAAAGAGGTCATGCTCTCTGAGACTCTCTGTCTTTCTAACACTTGTGCTCTTTTTGATCTTTGGGCCAGAGTCCTCCTACGGCTCCAGTTGTTAAGCCTTTGGCTGCATTTCCTCCTCTTTCCACCCAGGTCCTGTCGGTTATTGCAGTTGTGCGACCCAAATGTCCCCTCCTCACCAGCAACTCTGTGCCTGTGACCTCTGTTTGTCTGAGCCCAGCCTTTCTAATCTTTATTGCTGAATACTGTCAGAAAACATAGAATAATTGTGTTAATTGCCTGCATTGCACAAATTGGATCTCCAAAGTTAGTCACCATCTGAACACTTGAGTCAGCTGATTTTACTCATTCTTAACATTTGGCAAAAGCTCAGTTTAGAAATATTTTACGAATTTGGGGAAAAGAAAAAAGTTGTATGATGTGTGAAATTTTATCATTGTGATCCTTTATTCCCTTTTAAGGTAGGCTGCAGCCTGTGGCAATGTCTTCTTCATTCCTAATATTAGTTATTAGTGCGTTTTTTTCTTTTGTTTTCTACTACTTATAATCTGTGCTATAAAGAACCAACTTCTGGCTTTTAAAATATTCTGTATCTGTGTCTATTCATTACTTTATTGCTTCCTGTTTTTTCATCATGATGATGTTTTTGATCATCATGGGCTTAATTTACTGTTGTTTTTGTAGCAACGGAGGTAGAAACTTAGATCTCTGGGCTTTAATGACTTATTTTTTTCAAAGTTTGTGTTTGTTTACTTATTGACTGTTTTGGGTGTAGATGTGAACCCGTATGAATTTATGTGCACTCTGAATGTACAGGAGTCTGCAGGGGGCTGAGGAGCTTGTCAGACACCCTGGAGCTGGAGTCACAGGTGCTTGTGAGCCACCATGTGAGTGCTGGGACTCAAGCCCAGGGCCTCTGCAGGAGCCTCAGCACTCAGTCCATGAGCCCTCTCTGCAGCTCTGGGCAATTTCTGTAAAATAGAAGTAGTTAAGGATGTACACTGGTCTTTGCTTTGAATCTCACAAATTCTGGTTTTCTCTAAGTTTTCATTGTTACTCAGTTCACATTAAATTTTAATTTCCTTTTATATATATATATATATATATATATATATAATGATCAATTTTAAACATTGTTGAATTTTCCTAAGAGGTTAGTCATATTGGTTTCTAGTGAAATTTGTTTTAGGTAGATGTGCTTTATAGTATTTTAACGGGTTTAGGAGACGTTTTGTGGGTCAGTTTATGTCCGTCTTTGTCAATACTCTGCTTTGGCTAGTTAGGATGTATTTATAGTTATTGTGGCTAATGTTCTGTATTCTTCACTTAGATTGTATATTGACAGTGTTGTTCAAATCTCTTATGTTTTTATTGATTATTTTCGCCTTGTCATTCTATTAGCTTTGTAATTAAAAGGGGGCTTAGATTTTGCTTCATATATTTGAAAGCTCTATTATTGCATATACATGTTTAGAATTGTTACACCTTCCGTGTGAACTGACCCTTTTATTGTTGTGAATTGTTCCTCCCATCTCTGGCAAACTTCTCACTTTGAGGTCTGCCTGATGCTGACACAGCCACACTAGAATCTTCGCGTATGTTTTGATGGTTGATGTTGACTGCCAAGACAGGATCTACACTCACAGAAGAGACGGGCTTCTTACATGTCCATGAGGCACTGTGTAGATTAGATTAGCTAATTGAGGCGCGAAGACCCACTCTAAACGTGGGCAGTGGCACAGTGTGGGCTGGGGCCCAGAGTGCATGAGGAGAGAGGGAGTCGAGTGCTGACGTTCCTCCTCTCTGCTCCTGACTGTGGTGTCAATGCTCCTAGTTGCCTGAAGCTCCTGCAGCTATGACTTCCCACCAGAGTGCACTGGACCCTGGGAGTGTGCGCCAAGATAAACCTGCCCTTAAGCTGCTTTGTTTTTTTTCTACTCACCTCTCAAACCTGCATCAAGTCCCGGGTCTTGTACATGTTGAGCAAGCTCATTGAGCCAAACCCTCAGACGCTCAGGCCTTTAAACATCAGTTTCGTTATGTTTACAGTGGGCCAATAGACGTTTAGCTGTGTCTTATTGTTTTATCCAGTTTAATCATTTTTGCATTGTAATTGGATGCTGAGTTTATACATGGCATAATTTTGTTGTGATTGAGTTTGTCTTTTATTTTTCCCAAATTTGTTACACATTTTTTCAAATTAATTTTATATTGTATTCTTTTGGATAAATGAAATACTTTTCTATATTCAGTTCAATTCTCTTCAGTTTTACCTCCTGGTATTGTTATGTTGCTGCCTTAGGGTTTACAATATGTTTCTTAGCTTTTTAAGGCCTTCAAGTTAACATTTTTAAAATTCCATTTAAATTATTCTCAGTTTTAATGGTTAGTATTCTTCTCTAGCTGCTTTACATATTATAATATATTTTATTAACTTATCACAGTTTTCTTCAAGTAATGTCAGTACAACTGAGCATGGAGGCAGGGAGAGCAGCTGTTTACAGCCATCTTTGCTACAGAACATGTTTGAGGTCAGCACCTGAGACAGGAGAAATGGGCAAGCAAACAGAACTAGTGATGTATAATATAAAGTTAAGATCTTTGCATCAATATAGCTCCATTTGCCATTTAATGCACTTCATATATTGTGATATATTTTTAGTGTAATACAAGAATAATCTCATGAAGCACTGCTATACAATATACTTAGTTGTGTTTTAAGTTAATTAAGAAAACACTCTTTTATGTTCATTCATGGATTTGTTTTTTTTTTTTACTCACCTGGTTTAGTTCTTTTTGTAATACTTAATGTATTTTACTATCAGTGGGTTATTAGATTGTGTGGATCAGTGGTTCTCCACATGAAAGAATCATTGAGTAATCCTTTAAGAACTTGGACTTCAGGTTGCACCCCATGCTAGTTAAATCACACACTGGGTGTATGACCCAGGTGTTGGCACTTTTGCAGCTCTCTGCTTGATTCTAGTACGTGAATGGGTTTGGGAACGTCTGGTTTGCAGAGCTTTAAAAGTGACATAGTCCATTGAGAATGAGCAGTGAGGCAGGGAAGGAGGCAGCTGACATTTAATGCTGCCATTTTGAACTGTTGGCAGAAAAAGGCAGATTACAGTGTTTAAAAATAACTTTAAAGCAAGACAATGGGGGTAGGGATATATTGTTTACTAGGTAAGTTAGACCACAGAGAGGGAATTGGGAAATAGATTGTAGTTTAAGGAGGAATGGTGTCAAATGAAGTTATGACACCTTCCAAGCAGATAGTCTTACCTTTTTTAAGGGACTGAAAGTTACCAAAAATGAGAGGATTAACGAAAAGAAATATTATGAAAAAGGCAAAGGGAATGGGATTAGAAGTAAGACAAATGAAATATTTTAGGGAAAGGAGCCTGTAATTTTAAGTTCAAACATGGAATGGCAAAAGGGCAGATGAGGTAAAAATTACATTAAATTACCCTTGCCTTTATCTTTCCAGTGGAAGGAAAAGGATAATGAGTTTACTTAGTGATGCTGGTTCACAGGAGTCAGTGTTTTGAAAACTACATGGAGAGTTGCCCCCCACTTGTTTTCTCCATTTGAGCACCAGTATTTCGTGGGTTGCAGGTAGGGTCATAGAGTTAGCATTTCCAATCATATTATTCCATGTGACTCTAACTGTGTGATGAAATTAGTAGTGCTTGGAAATGCTTTTTAATGTCTTCCAGAAGAACACATGAAGCCTGAGTTGAGTGACAGGATCCTAGTGTAGCAGCCAAGGTCTATTGGATGCTAACCTTCAAAGTATTTGTTGTTATCTGTAGTCACTTTGTAAAGCCTGTAGACTACATGTAAAAACCTGTTGTTGGATCTAGGATTAGAAGTGGCATACATGAAGTCCAAATGGGGGGAACTCCAGTCAACTAGTGAGAGAATCAAGGAAGTTAAGTTATGTTTTCTGCAAGAGCTGAGGTAAAGCTGATGGGATCAAATGATTGAGAATCTCCTGTGATGTGGAACGGTATGAGAAGTGGCTGGTAAATTAGTTGTGTTCAGAGAAGTAAGGGCAGTGGAAAGCTGAGGCATTTTAAAATGCATGTAGAGTTAAATAGAGTTTGAAAGTTGGGTTATGTGAGTGAGGTCAGGTCTGATACATTGGAGAAAGTCAAGGATCAAGGCATCTCACAGTGTAGTAGGAGCAAGTTGCCAGATAAACTGTGGGGTATCCAGCTAAGTTTGAGCACTACCAGTGCATGGAATATTTTAGGGCATGTCCATACTTTAAAAAAAAAGTCTGATATTTAAACTTGAT